CAGTAATTTCCCATTAAATCAAACAGACTTGGCATTATACGCTATCACATGCGTGCTCATGCCTAATAACTCTAGTGGCAAAGCTCTAAATGGCCGTAATATACCACAACCTCTATAGGAGTGGCAGAAAGCTTTCAGTTTTCAAATCCAGTGAGTCACCACTCCAAGGATTCATTCCTCTTTTTTTTTTTTAGGTTAAGAACAAGTTGACACCACACATCAAATACTATAAACTCAGAATATCCTCCACTTCACCTCTGCAATATGGAGTTTTACACATTCCCTCTGAAGCCCTGCTTCTGGTTTGAAGTGCTGACACCTGAAGTAGGCTGACGTGTCCTCACCACTCACTCACTCCCTCTTATCGGGGACACACAGGCAGCTTCCTCACACAGCGGACTGGACCAGTGCTGCCACTTTTAACCTGCCTCCTCCGACTAGTGCTGAGGTGTTTTCATATGCCTCACGGTGATTCAAAATGAATTAGTACTCCCTGTGTACTACACGACTGTATTGGTACTGCGAGTTGCAGTGACAGGAGAGGATTTCTGAGATTAGGGAGGACAGACTATCCGCAACCCATTTGCCCATTGGCAAGCAATAAGCTTATAACAAGCATGTTGACAGCACATTTTCTTCTTTGGTTAGATTGTTCGGCATGTGGTGGTATCAAATCTCCTCGCCATGACGCCTCGCTTTGCTTGAGAGAGAGAGAGAGAGTGTGTGGTTTGTTTGAGATACAAACTAACTGCAGGAAATAATCGCAACAGAACACACAAGACTGTTTAAGGTAAGGAATATTGGCACCTGGAAGCCAGGAGTCCCCCCATGCTTGGAAAGCACAGTATAAGAAAATGACAGAAAAGCACAGCCTGCAATGATTCTCAATTTCATCTAGCTCTTAACTGGAATGAACACTAGAGAAAGTGGGAGTGCAATTTATCTTGCTTGGCTTAAACGTCATGGAATGGAAATCCAAATTTTTAAATCTCTAACCTGGTGGGATAAAATATTTCCAAAACCAGCAAACTTTTCCCACAATGGTTCAGATTAGAGGAAACCTAACTGTGGAGATGGCCCCCTTTATATGCACAATGGCTGGTTTCCTGCCAAAGTGCCTCGTAAGTTGACAAACTCACCACCACCTACTGGTGCATAGCTGTTGGTAATTTCCAGTTAATGATAGAAGAGGAAGTATTCTGATCCCAAACTCTCATATCAGCAGCAGCAGATCTGCATATAAAGCTGTTCTGAGGATACATATTCCGGTCCTCTAAGTTCAACACCCAGTTGATGTTGTTTCTTGCTGGACAATCAAAATTTAATTATAGGGAAACTGTAGTGAATACGCAATCTAGATGGTTCATAAATTTCAGAATTGCATACCCCACTT